ATAGATGTTAGCTCAGGGCCGGTCTTCTTCAGCAAAAAGAGGAGGATTGGCATGGATGTTAGCTCAGGGCTGATCTTCCTCAAAAAAAAAAAAAAAAAAAAGATGACAGCATTATTCTGGGCTTCATACTTACTTTCACTCAGGGGTTAACTGCTTAAAATTACAGTGTGCCCAATTCATGAGGGTCAAAACAGCAATTCCTTGGGCAGTGTTTCTTCACCAGGGGTGATTTTCCCCCCCTGGGGGACACTTGGCAATGTCTGTAGACATTTTTGGTTGTCACAACCCCGGGGGGGGGGTGCAGGGACAATGTTACTGGCGTCTAGTGGGTAGAGGCCAGGGATGCTGCTGAACATCCTACAAGGCACACGATAGCCCCCCAAGCAACGAATTATCTGGCCCAAATGTCAACAGTGCTGAGGTTGAGAAACCCTGGTTGAAGGTAATGGAAGGGAGAAAGTCCAGCCTTCTCTTTCCCTCCTACTGTTCTCATCGCCACAAACTACAAAGATTGGATGGTGAGTCATAAATTAGAAATTCTCCAACACATACGTGCGAGTGAGTTCACAGAGCTTGCAAGTTGAATTTTATGAATTAGGCATTATGAAATGTTATCTACTCTTTGTAAGCCACCTCAACATGGATGCAATTGGTCATATTATTTCCTCCTCTTTTTACAGGGAAAGTGAGCCTGATGTGAATAGAGCGTGAGCTGGAGAGACACTGAGATAGACTGGCGGTAACCATTAAATCACAGTTAACTTGTGGAATTAAAACTAAATGAGAGCTAAAAGAGAGTGAGTATAACTCCTAATGGCCATGTGCTCTGACAATGTAGATATAGTACAGCTGTTTTTTTTAATGGGCAAAGAACAGGGTGAGGGAGCATACAAAAAAATGTATTTTTTTAAACTATTTTTAGTAACCATATTGGCAATGGTAGTATTAGTATTGTTGCTTTGAGACTGTAGAGTGAGTAATATAGGATAAAGCAAATGAGTAACTATGGAATATTCTAATCCTATTATCTATTTGTGTGTGTGTGTGTGTGTGTGTGTGTGGGTGTGTGTGGGTGTGTGGGTGTGTGTGTGTTTGTGAGGAAGACCAGCCCTGAGCTAACATCCAATGCCAATCCTCTACTTTATATGGGACACCACCACAGCATGGCTTGACAATCGGTGCATCGGTCCACACCAGGGATCCGAAACTGCAAACCCCGGGCTGCCAAAGCAGAGCACGTGAACTTAACAGCTACGCCACCAGGCTGGCCCCTATCTATCTTGTTTTTGAGGATCATATTCTCAATTTGGAAGAAAAGGTATACAGGTGTAAGATAGAAGAGGTTAAGTAAAACCTTGTAGTCCTGAGTTGGCTATATCAGTTATGAACACATGGGGTGTTTATCTTATATTATGTTACATGTTATATCATATCATTATATATAATCTCTACTGAAAAGGCCCAGAAACAGAACAATGACCAACATAATATCAATGAACATCTTTAGTACCAATTATTATTTTGAAAAACCATTTCCCACTAAAGGAAACCAAGGCTTCTTGAAGAAATGGCTGACTCCTGGTTTGGGGCAGGAAATGTACACATTGACCCTTGTCATATCAGATCGCAATGAAGCTATGGAAGACCACTAGGTCTTGTAAAAAAGATTCAGGAGCCAATGGGAAGAGGTATCCACTTGCCAAAGATGGGACAATTTCTGTCTCAATAATTCCAAGGGGTTGAAATTGTTTAAATCCATAAGTTTATAATTATATTTTTTTAAAAAACTATATCATCACATTTGGAGGATGTTAGGAAACCAATCTTTTATCTTGGAAAACTGGTACATAATGGGAAAGAATCAAGCATTTTTCCTGCCTTTCCTACATGAATTGTACCACGGGGAAACGAAATGGTAGATGAAGGGCGGCATCTCTATGAAAGTATTATAACTAATAAGGGAAAAGGAGTGATAGAATATTACCATTTTGCAATCTCCAATGAATTAATGGATTTAGACATTAACCATCAACAGTCCCTAAATCACAAAAGGGAGTCAACCAGACGTTTTGTGCCTCCTGATTCAAGATCACGTCACCACCTACAGTCTTGTCAAAGGGATCGAACCTAAGTCTCCTCAAGCCTCACCTTGATCCAGCTGCCAAATGGTGGGAAATCTGGAACATGTTGAACTGCACCGAGAGTGTGTCATCAGCAACACCCAGACTGTAGGAAATCTCACAAGTCAAAGGGCTCAGGTTTTTCAACAGATAAATTGTAAGACTGAGCAAGGGCTTGAGGGGAAACTAGAGACAAAATCATATCAAAATTTTTAAATGGGGGCCAGCCCAGTGGTATGGCAGTTAAGTTCACGCATTCCGCTTCAGGGGCCAGGGTTCACTAGTTTGGATCCTGGCTGCGGACCTACTCACCACTCATCAAGCCATGCTGAGGCGGCATCCCACATAGAAGAGCTACAACTCTACAACTATGATACACAACTATGCACTGGGGCTTTGGGGAAAAAAAGAAAAAAGAGGAAGATTGGCAACAGATGTTAGCACAGGGCCAATCTTCCTCCAAAAAAAAAATTTTTTTTTAATGGACAACTACAGAGTCCCAGGGTATTTATTTGGGTGAAAGAAAGATAAAGAAACACAGGCAAGTTGCTGTCTTACCGGTTCCTTGTGGGGGAAGGAGATTATTGGAAGGGGGCACGTGGAGGGTCTTCTCAGTGGCTGGCAAAATTCTATTTCTTGACCTGGGTGCTAGTTATAAGGATGTTATAATAATTCATTAATATATGCCTTATAATTAAATATTAACACATTAAATATTAATATAATATTATAGCAATATTAAATTAAGTGTTAATTTAATAACAATACTGAATTTAATATAAATATTAAACTAAATATCAATATATGCCTTATAATGCTTCATTAAGGTATACATTAGTTTTTGTGTGATTTTCTGTAGCTGTGTTTTGTTTTCCGATAAAAAGTTTTAAAATAGAGTAAAGAAATTGAATGGCAGAGATTTGTGGAATCTTCTCACAGCGACACAAATACACACTGGGGTTTTCAACTGTTTTGACGCTTACCTTTCGAGTTAATAATGTCAGGATAATTGCTTGGGTCGGCCACAAGGGCGCGCTATTTGTCGCCCACAACACCTGCGCCTGCGCAGATAGAAGCGGGTTTTAAACGTCACGAAAAGCCGCGTGAGTGTTGGGAAAGGCAAGCGATCCTTCATCTTCCTCTGATCCTGATCTGCAGAAGTATCAGCGCCGGCAAATTCCTTCTGGAAAGTTAGATCCCACGTGTACATAAAGTGCACATACTGAAGATGCTGCGGCTCTCTCCCCCTTTACAATGTTTTAATTTATTCAAAGCTGTTATAATAAAACCTCATAAGCCATCGTAACAGGACAGCGGGACCCGGAATGTGGCGAGTGAGAGGTGACGAGTTCTCGGGGTGGTCTTCTGATGAGAGTGGACGGAGAGCCCACCGGTGGCGGGAGAGGAACCCTGGAGGCTGTCCAGACCCCCCGTCCCCGGAGTGTCCCCTCGGGAGGACGGAGGGCGACGGCACAGGCAGCCGTGGAGGGCAGCGAGGGCGGGCGGCGGCCCCTGAAGCAGAGGGCGAGGCGGGGGGCGGGGACCCCCGCGCCGTGGCGGCCTCCCCGCTGCACGGCCGCCCGTCGGGGGGCGGCCCTCCTGCCCTCGCGCTCGTCCTCCTCGCCGGGGACGGGCCGCACGACCTCCTTCTAGCAAACCTCGGCACGGGTGCCCCACTGCTCGGGAAACGGGGGGCTGAGCAGTGGTTCACGGCTGACGGACAGCCCGACGGGGAAGCTTGACCACGAGCCGTTGTGTCCTTCGCCACGCCTCTCCGGCTATCCCGGGGCGTGAGCCAGTCCGCGGGTACACACGTGTCACACTTGTCACAGTGGGTTAGGCACTCCGCGTTGCTCTTTGGGACCTCACGCGTCCGCCCATCAGAGGCACGGCGGGGTCCCCCTTGCTCGCCGCTGTGGCGGCGTCTCGCGGAGGGGACGTGGGACGCGGAGGGGCAGTGCGGGAAGGGAGGCTGAAGAGTCTCCCCCGGGGCGGACGCCCGGGCTTGTCCCTGATCCCTAGCGCTCTCTGGGGACCCGGGCCTCACCCCCAGAGCCAGAGCCAGGCTCTCTCATCCTAGGGCACCCCAGGAGCCTCAGGGACACGCCTTGTTCCGGGCTTGCCCCTGGTTCAGTGACCCCAGTGCCCCAGCCTCGGGGCGCCCTCCCGCCCGCGCCAGCCTCACGCCGCGGGGCCCCTCGGCCTCCAGACGCCTCCCCTGCGCCCCTCTTCCCTGCACACGCGCCTCGGAGGGAACCGAGTCAGAAGCCCCGTGCAGCCACTTTTACGTGACCCTGGGCAAATTATGTCACCTCCCTAAGCCTCGGTTTCTTTTTCCATTAAATAAGGACGGTAAGGATAATAATATTGACCGAATGCTGGTTGCTTACAAAGCGAACACCGCCCTGTAACCAACACCCAAGTCGAGACCAGAACAGCCGGCTGCCAGCGCGGCCGCCGCCTGCGTTCGCCGACCCCGCCCCCCAGCCGCTACACCCTGGGTTTATTCTGTCTTTGAACTTTATATAAACGGTAACCTGGAGCACTTTTCCGTCCTGCTTCTCCCGCTCAACCTTTTGTTGCTGAGATTCACCCAAGTGGTCCCACTAGTAGTAATTCCTTCGTTCTCCTCCGGCTGATGAGCGCTTGGGCTGTTTCCAGTTTGGCTTGTTACCAAGAGGGCTGCGGGGACCACCCCGGATGTCGCCTTAAGCAGGAGAAAACAAACATGCGAAGCCTCTTGTGAACAGGGGGAACAAAGTTCTAGATTTAAATGTTACACATGTTACAGAGTTGTTACTGACAGGTAGCAAGGCAGAATGGAAAAGAATATAGGGTTTTAGACAAGACCCACTTGTGATTGAATTCTGGGCTTTCCACTTAGTAATTGTGTGACTTGGGCAGTTACTTGACGTGAGAATCAGTTGCTTCATCTGCAAAATAGTAATAAAAATATCTCCCTCCTTTGGCAGCAGAGATGGTTACACAAGAAGGGGTCCGCAAAGGCCCTGGCACTGCGCCTGGCACGCAGAGGGGTGGGTTGAGCATGGCCTCACAGCATGGCAGGGCCAGGAGGCCGGAACAGGGGCAGAGGGAGGATCCTCTTCCTCCTGGATGCATTCACTCAGGTGTTTATTCAAACATAGCTCCTGGAAATATTTTTACTATAAAATTAACAAAGGGCACAGAAATTTTTAAAATTTCAAAATGTTTGAGTGACTGAAACAAAAGAATTTAACTGCATCTCAAGTTGGTGGCATATCCCCACAGAAAGACTAAAACAGTGTTGACTGCACACCTAGCAGAGTATACTGTATAGACAAAAAGTAGATAGATGATAGATGGATAGATAGATGATTGACAGATAGATACATACATAGATATAGATGATAGATAAAAAGATGATAGGTATAGATAGATGATTGATACATAGATATAGATGATAGAAAGATGACAGATGATAGATAAATACGTAGGTAGATAGATGAAGCAAATCAATGTAGTAACATCTTAGGAACCGAGATTTTTAGCACAAAAGAAAAGAGACAGGAGTATAAAATCCAGAAAAGTTAAGTAAAACCCTGTAACCCATTATGTACTATCATTTAGTAAACCGTAACCGTCTACTGAAAAGGCCGAGAGGCAATGACACCTAATAGCAATGAGCAGCTCTGTGCCCAGACTGTAAACGTCCTACTTTGAATATCAATATGAATTCATGATTTAACAAAACTTCTTTCCACCTCTGCCCACTGAAAAAGCCTAGGAGAAAAGGTACCCCCAGAACAGTGAGGTCACCTAGCAATCAGTTCTTGGTTTTCAAATACTACACCCAATGGAAAAAAAAACAACAAAAAATAACAGCCAAACAGGGCTCTTTGGAGAAACGGTGGAGCACTGGTCCCTGGCAGAAAGTGTACCAGACGTTGCAGGGACGTCTTCTGTGTCAGAAGGTAGGAAACTATCAAAGACCTCTGGGATCTTACCAAAGATACAGGAACCAACTTACCAGCCAAAAGTGGAGCAATCTGAATGTCAAAAAGAATAATGGCTACAATGGATTGAAAAACAACAAAATTATAAAAATCCAAGTGTTCGTAATGACACTAATCATCCTCTCTCCCCCTCAAAAAAGTTGCTTGTCTTTGGAGGTTACTGTGGTTCCAATGCATTTTCTAAAAAATGGTAAATAAAGGAAAAGAGCCAAGCATTTATCCTGTCTTCCTATTCAGCCTATACCTCAAGGTAACCAAACAGTTGATAAAGGAAAGTTCTTTATTAAAAGAAGTCAGTTAATAACTCCAGAAGGAATGAATGATGTATTTTGGCCACAATTATCAATAGCTACTAAAACCATCAGCTGGAAAGTTGATGAGAAACTTCAAAATGGAGGGATCAAACTGACACCACTTCAACCACTTGACCCATCTTTGAAGAGAGAAAGAGGAGGTACAGGGCACTGTACGGAGTGTTCTTGGCAGCAAACCTGAATCTAATCAAGCTACAGAGCTCCCTACAAGTTTACAGGAAACAGGAGGGTAGAGGAACAAGTTAGATGACACAACAGAAACCAGTCAGCCAAACCCAACACAGGGGGAATTCTACAGGCAAATGACCCGGGCTCTTCAACAAATAAACGTCATGCGGGAAAAAAAGGCAGGTAAGAGGGGTGATTAAAATAGACTGAAAAGAGAGAGCAACCAAAGGCAGTCTGTGAAACTTGTTTGGGTCCTGACTTGAACAAATCAACTGTAAAAAGACATTTTTGAGACATTTGGGAAAATGTGAATATGGACTGCGTTCTAGTTGATGTTACTGGTAATTTTATTACACGTAATAATCCCATAGGAGTTATACATAGATGTATATATATGTATATATATATTTAATGCCCTTATCTCTCAGAGATAGCTACTGAAATATTCATGGTAAAATAATACAATGTCTCTGATTTCCTTTAAAATATTGTAGCCAAAAAAGGGGGAAGTGATATAAATGAAATAAGATAGGTCAAAGATTGATTGTTTTTTTATAGAGATATAATTGACATAACATTATTTTAGTTCTAAGTGTACAACATAATAATTCGATATTTGTATATGTTGCAAAATGATCACAAGTCTAGTTAACACCTACTATCATACATAGTTACAAATTTTGTTTTCTTGTGATGAGAACTTTTAAGATCTATTCTCAGCAACTTTCGAATACACAATACAGTATTATTAGCTATAGTCACCATCTGTATTGAAGCTAGATGAAGGATACTTGAGAACTCATTATGTTATTCCCTCTATTTTGGGGTATATTTGAAATATTCCAAAATAAAAAAAATTTTTAATTTTATCTAGAATTTAAATTTATGCTACTGGTGTAAATTACATCAAATCTCATTAATTTGGACTAATGGAAATCAAGGCCAGACTAAAGTATTTTTTTTACTCTAATTTTAGAATAATTATATCTCATTTTAACAGACTGTATCTTTATTACTTATAAATTGATGCAGTAACTTGGACTGGAAAAGTTTCAAAGCATTTGTAAACAAAATATCAATTCTTTTTTTTTTAAATAATTTTATTTATTTATTTATTTCCCCAAAGACCCAGTAGATAGTTGTATGTCATAGCTGCACATCCTTCTAGTTGCTGTATGTGGGATGCAGCCTCAGCATGGCCGGAGAAGCAGTGCGTCGGTGCATGCCCGGGATCCGAACCCGGGCTGCCAGCAGCGGAGCGCGCTCACTTAACCGCTAAGCCATGGGGCCAGCCCCAAAATATCAATTCTTGTACCCAGATGTTAAATGTAATCCTTTTCATTGTCAGAGTTTCAGCAAGGCCCCCAAAGGCCACATAGTAAACAATAGGTACCAAGTTCCCCACTTTGTCAGTTGAGAAGTATCTGGAGAGACTAGACTGTCTACACCAGACTTGAGAAGGGGTAAATCCAGGCCAGTTCCAGCAGCATTAGATGACCACCCTCTTCCAACCTTATGAAAGGTCTAGAGACTTTCTTTGGAGTTGTGCTGTGTGTCCCCTCCCCATTCCACCACGGGGGGTTGGTTCCTCCTCAATCAAGCCTATGAAGGGGGCCCCCAAAGGCCCTTGAGAGAACTTAGAGTTGGGGGGACATGAAGGTGGGCATTTGGAAGGTGAGAGGCCATGCAGAACTGCCCTTGTCTACAGTCAGAGCGAGGAGAATCACTTGGGAATAAGCTGTACTTCCCCTGATGGCAGGGCAAAGGGAAATGTTTCCAGGGACCATCCGTGGACCCCGGGATGGAGTGTTCCCTGGAGTCATCTGAGGACTTCATCTAAGGAGGTGGGACCACCAAGAGGCGGGGTCAGAAGGTCATCTAAGAGTACCAGGAGGTGGGACCACCTAGAGGCAGGGTCAGAAGATCATGTAACAGCACCACCTATAGGTGGGGTCAGAAGGTCATCTAACAGCACCTGGAGGTGGGGCCACCTAGAGGCAGGGTCAGAAGGTCATCTAACAGCACCACGTAGAGGTGGAGTCAGAAGGGCCCCATTCATGCCCAGCGCCTCCACACACGCCCATCGCCAGGTTACACCCCTCCAGCCATGGGACACACTGCTCTTGCCCTCCTTCCACTCTCCCCTCGACCCCACCCCAGGGGGGTCAGAAACTGCTGCTAGTTTCCCAGCCTGAAGTAGGCCCAAGCTTGGGAAGAGGGGAAATTTAGAATTTAAGTAAATTCGGTGTTTCAATATAATTCTTAATGGGACTTTAAAAATTTCTGAAATGAGGCTATTCATATGACAGGTATAGAAACCAAGAGAGCAATGAGACATAGCCATAATTTTACCCAAGAGAGAGACAGAATGAGTCCACAGGGTAAGTTTAACAATTAAATTTCTTTTATACTTACCTACTAAGTCCAGCTTTCTCATAAACCAATGAAAATACTTCTACAATCTTGGCAATAACGTAGAGAGCAAAGAGGGAAATGGGGCCGGATGTGACTGGAGAATCAGGGGGCCAGGTGATAAGGGGCTCCCAGGGCCTTGTTAAGGATTTGGGTCTTTATCCTAAAACAGTGAAGAGCCACTGAAAGGTTTTAGGTAGTGGATTACAGGATAGGATTTTGTATGTTGTGGCTGCAGTGGGGGAAATGGTTTAGGGTGGGGTAGATGGTAGGGGGCTGGAAGTTAGGAAACTATGGTTACTATGGAAATCCAGCTGACTGAGGATGGTGGCTCTGATGGAGATAGGGAAGACAGAAAGTGAGTAGATACTAGATTTATTTAGATGATCAAATCCATAGGGCGGGCCGGCCCTGTGGCTTAACGGTTAAGTGCGCGTGCTCCGCTGCTGGCCGCCAGGGTTCGGATCCTGGGCACGCACCGACGCACCGCTTCTCCAGCCATGCTGAGGCCTCGTCCCACATACAGCAACTAGAAGGATGTGCAGCTTATGACATACAACTATCTACTGGGGCTTTGGGGGGAAAAAATAAATAAATAAAATCTTCAAAAAAAAAATCCATAGGTCTGGTTGGTGGTTAGCTATAGGGTAAGGGTGGGGGAAATAAGGGGGAAAAGAGAGGATTCCTGTGTTTCTGGATTGAGCACGTGGGTGGGCGTGGTGCCTTTTAATAAGGAAGAACACAACAGGCGAGGTTGGGGGAAAAGATGATGAGCTCAGTTCTAAGTGTGTGAAGTCGAAGTACCCGTGAGGTCCAGGGAAGCGGTCAGGCAGGGAGGTGGTCGCAGAGCCTGGAGTTCAGAACAAAGGATGGGCCCCAGGCCTACCCTGGAACTGGATGGTGAGTGCAGCCTTGGGAGGCAGTATGTGAAGTGGCATGAGGGCCAAGGGAAGAGCCCCAAGGGGATGCGGAGAGAGTGGGTGGGACACCTGACTGGCCACGAGCTGTTAACCGAGGAAGCTGGGTACTCAGCGCGGGAGGGTC